ACTGAAGCTCTTAATGGGAGAGAAGGTGTCACCATCAGTCCAAACAGAAAAGGTGCAGAAGYACAAATTGAAGGAAGATATTTCCCTGATGTTCAAATGCACTTGCAGAAATGTGCCGGTGTTCTCCCGTACACTCCATTGATACACAACGAGTGTAGAGAACATTTGACCAAATGAGTTACCTTTACTAAAAATTTACTGTGAATAGAATTCTATTCCACCAGAGAGCTGAAATATTCACTGCTTTTTAACWATGCAGATTTAATCCAAAATTGATTCCTTTTCAAAAAACCTAAATACTTTCTGAAAAAAAGTGTTGACTTTCATAGAATGATTATTTTATGTAGAAAATAAAAAGTGTCATTGTTCAAATATTTTAAATTATTTGTGATTAGAAATGATTGAAATATTCTCCAAACATTTAAAATATACAGACTAGGAACCTTAAAACAGAGGCTTCAAATGATGACTTTTAGAATTAAGGTAACTTCTTGTTTTAAGCTAGCCATAGTAGAACTTTCTTATACCTTAAAAGAATACTCTGTATAATACAGCAGCCTTAGGGGTAAAACCACTGGCATGTAACAAAGCATTAAAGGTCAGTCATTAGAATTTAGATTGTAACAACACAGAAGGACTGAAGCTGGGTACTCTTGGTCTATTCTCGCTTCTTGTATTTAAGTCTCATAAATTGTTCAAAACTTTATCGATGGAATTAGTAGTCAAAATATCACATCTCAACATCTGGTTCATATTCTTGTCCCAGCTATGCTGGTGCAACTCTAAATTAAACTAAATGCCTTACGTGAAGTCAYTCTAAATTTATGATGGTRTTCGGAAGAAGTGGACTTGGTTTTYRGTCTTTAAAAGCTGTCAGTGTTTGCAGCCAAATAAAGTCACATGTGGTTACAGCCTCTGYGGCACAAGATTGCCATCCAGTGGTAATTCCCAAACCTGTATTTGCTGAAGGCGTTCCCACAGAGTTGACCAGCAGCCGGTGCTGCTTATACCTATCAACCTGTTAGCTGCAAATTCAAACTCCTGAATAGCTATTGCTAGGCTGAAAGGAACATTTCCGTTAAAAATTGATAACTTACCTCTTTTTTTTTTTTTTAATCGGTTTTCCATATTGAAATAGCTTAGACAATGAATGTAGATTTTTGCTTCCTGAAGAGCAGAAACATGCTGAAGGATGAGGCCCCTGGCACAGCTATACTCAGAGGTACTACCCCCATCCTAATGCTGCATCTCAGCTACTTTTCAGTTCCCTCTGCCAGCACAGCATTAGTCAGATCTGAGAGGAACACATCAATTGTCATTTAAACATCCTTGTACAGAGTTTTTCACTACCTGGAGTGCCCTGTGCAGGGGACTGTGAGTGATCAAGCTTTGAGGCTGGTTTCATGTCAATGCCTACACACCCAGACATCAATATGACTMCTGGTATCTCTGATCTGCAAAGAGCAGGCCCTGAACTCAGACCTTCCCCTTCCTGGATAAACGCTTTACCTGCTCTAGTAGATCACAGAAATGTCTTTTAGAGGGAACAGGCACAGTTGCAGTTGTGAAGACTGGGTCTGACTGGCATCCATTAGAGGGGTTTGAAGATTACATCTTGAACTGAGCCTCTCTGGGGAACTGAATGAAGAAACACCAAGTTTGTAGTTCCTGATTGAGTTGAGATATGAAAGAGTGCCAAGCTGCTTAACCCTGCTGAACTGGTGCAGATCTAGGTACACAGAGAGGCTCTGTGCAGTAGAATATAGCTTGTATATAAACAGGAAATGTGGTTTGGGAATCTAGGTGTGATGCAAGGTCAGACACAGCTCACTGGGGTTTTTCCACTATCTCTGTTTTAGATTTGGGACCTCAAATTCTGCCCTAAACCCCTGTTTTCTTTTTATTTGGCCTGTAGCCAATAAAATAAATTCTGGTTAAAACGCCATGTATTTCTTGCCAATTGTACTGATTTACCTCATTCTGTTTCACCCTCCCCACATCTGTAATATTTTCCTTTGTAGCTAACAGTATCTCTTGCAATGCAGATGTGTATGAATGATTACGAATGATTCATGGATTTGTTTGGCCTGATTGCTCACAGATTAAATCATTTCATACAATGCTCCCATTAGTGTTACAGGCATCTTACTTCTAAACAGGAATTGAGTTATCTGGGGTTGTGCAGGCACCACTGCAGCTGGTACTGGCAAGGCAGAGCTCATCCCAATGAGCAGCTGTTTCTGCCAGGTCTCTTTAGGAGATGCAGAAACAGGAAAAACAATACTTTCATTTCTCAGTAGAATTCCATTTTGATGTATTTCTTGCAGTAACATGTGAAATGAGAAGCTGAAGGTTCAGATTGTTCCTAAGAGCAAAACAACACTTTCACTCTAACTTCTGAAAGTGACCAGAGGCCTGCACATAAGGAAAATGAGAATTTCCCATTATCTCTATGATCATTTACTACTTCTCCTTCACATTGCACTCTATTCAAGAATGACCAAATACACACTAAATTGGTACAAATAAACTATTTTACCTAGAATTGGTCTAGCCTAAGTAGTAATATTCAAAATTATATGAAATATTAACAAGTRTGGAAAAGAAAATATACACAAGCATTTTGCATTGAAGAATAAAGACTCAAATGCTGGAAATGAGACTCATTCTCCWGGAGCAAAATAAATGCAATTTGACCTATGAATTTAGTGTGGTACAATTGCTTTTGAGATGAGACAAGGAAAGTGAGAGACKGGTAAATCACCTCTTTGTGTGCTTTGTAGCAATCATCATATTATAGCTACATGGTGGAACGAAACAATGAGTCATTTATGTGTCTTAGTTCCACAGCAGGTAAGTCAAGAACAAAAAAAAGTATCCTTAGACATTTTCAAAGCAGTTTAATTCATTTGCTGCATATGAAACCCATGCTGCAATCCACAATTCATGCATAACTTAAAAAAAAAAAAGTGAGAAGAAAAAAAAATCAGAAAAAATAAGTCCTCCCTTCAAAATAAAGCAGAATCCAAATACTTATTACCAGAAACACAGCTATTACTTTGTGTCTATGGGATTGACATRGTTTCCTCACATTTGTCCCATAAAACGGAACAAATACTTTTTCAGTCTTTTCTTAGGTAAGCTGCGTTCTCCCAGATAAAATTTTACTGCTGGCTCCTGTGCATAAGGAAAGGAACATGATCTCGGAATGCAAGTGCTCTGTCAGTGCAAAAGATTGCACTGGGCAGATGCAGCAACAGGATTAGTAACGGCTTGCTGGCAAGGGAAGCTTTGGAGCAAAGGTGGGATACTGACACAATCACAATGTACATTTTCTGACCCCTTTTCTGAGGCTTTCTACTCAGGAAATAAAAAATATTGATTGGGGGATGTCTATAACTTTAGTGAAAACTTGATACTTTTCATATTTGATCCGACTAGAAATGAAAAGACAACTGGCAAAATCTCACCCTTCCAGGGAGGGTGCAGACCTSAAAGGAAGAGCCAAAGACAAGTGCAAATCTGCCACCTCCTGTTTCTAGTGTGGACAATACAACGACGGAAATAATTAGCTAATCTTTCATTTAAATAAAGCGTTTGGGGGAAAAGGCTAAAAATAAACACTGATTCATTCCTTGTCAGGGAAGTTTCTTCTGTCAATTATCACATTGTTACTGCTGTTTTTAATCTAGTCAGATGGTGAGATTGGCAATCCTTTCTGCAGGGGCTTCTGGGTGTTATTTTGTGGAGAATCTTACTTGAAGGACTGATTACTGCTTTTATGGGAGCCAGTGGGAGTTTGGCCACAGTCCTTCACGCATGTTAATTTGAGGGACTTCCAAATGTTAGCTAATGATCTCAGAGTTCTTTTTATGAAATATGTGTGGGTTTGTTTTGGGGTTTGGGTTTTGTTGTTGGGTTGTTGGGGTTTTTTTTTAATTCCTAGGAGAACACAATTAAGGCTGGAGAAAGTGCTGCACTGTAGCTCTGGACTGCCTTCTCAGTAACGTCTGATTTCTAGAATGAAAAATTCAGAAGCACRCATCACTACCACACTCGGTATATTATACATAATATACTAAAATAAAATATTCGCATTATTCATATAGTCCAGGCCACATGCTTTGCATTGCTGTGGATTGSGTCTATCTGTTGGCTTTCACTCACAGTTACCTAAAAAGTAATTATACTCTTTCTCTTTTTTTTAGGAGCAATACTGAGGGGAAAGCAGTAGCCTCCGCCCCAAGCAGGGAAATGTGTCAGCATGGAAAATAGAGGCACGTGTGGGTGGGGGAGTTTGATTTCTGTTTTCTGAAGCCTTATGTAGCTGTAAACGAGAAACGGGGAAAAGCGAGCCGGTGGCAGCTAAACAGAAAGCCAAGGACACAAGTCCGAGCAAGCGCTGGGGCTGGGCTCGGTGAAAAGCGTGCAAAGGGATCTTTGAGCTAAACGCTGACATAAAAGGGCTTGGAACGGAGCACACCAACAAAAACCGCTCTCCGTCCTCCCGCTTCCCACTGCCGCTACCCCCGAAAAACCCCCAAAAGTTACAGATATGCTCGTGTCTGGCTGCGTTCAGACCAGAAACGAGATTGTACACTCTCCCCATGACCAAGAGGGCAGTTAACCACTACAGCCCGATTCTCCAGCAAAGGAACACAGCTCGCAGCACGCCGCGCATCCTCGGCTCAGCCTCCCACGGCCGGGMAGGCGCGGCCGTGCCCCGGTGCAGGGACACGGACAAGGACACGGACAAGCACACGGACCCCACCCGTGTCTCCTCCCGCGGGCGAGCGGCCCCGGCTCCCCGAGCGGCCCCGGCGGCGCCGCGCAGGCTCCGGGCAGCGGCCGCGCCTCCGCCCGCCCCGGGCTCGCCCCGGCCCCGCCGCCCGCGGGAGGGAGGGGAGGGGAGGGGAGGAGAGGGGAGGGCGGGGGCGCTCGGCTGCTGCCCCGGCCAGGGGATCGGGGATCTCCCTCCTGCCCCGGTGGGTGCGGTGCCTGGGGCKGGGGTGCCCGGGCGGGCGGGCCCCAGGGGCGGCACGGGCGCGGCCAGGCTGGCTGCACCCCCGGCCACCCTTCCCCGCGTCTGTGCGAGGACAAGGCCGGCCGTGGTGGGGATCAGAGAGGGCGGAGAGGCCTGCCCGCGGGCGGGGGCACCTGCAGCAGCCGGAGCCAGCCCGGGGCCCGCGGGCAGCAGCGCCCGGAGCTCCAGGAGGAGAAGGGGCCCGCAGGGAAGGCGGTGAGGGCACTGAGCAGCGCTCACGCACAGCCAGCATCCCAGAGAACACCGGCACAGCCCGGCCCTGCGCACAGCCCGACTGCCGGACAGCGGGGCTGCGGCACAGCTGTGTGCACCTGTGCACAAAGGTACCAAAGGAAACAAAGCGTATGAAAGGAAGGARGCGCCGCCAGCACTCAGCAGCCCGGAGACCGCTGGGGACAGGGACCTGCCGCTTCCGCGATGCTGCGCAGGAGGTCTGTGGTAGGGATTGCCAGAGCTCTTGCTTCCTGCTTCCAGTTTAGGAGATTCGCCACCCTCCTTTTGCTCATTCCCTTTTCCACAGTCAAAGAGCATAAAGCACAAAATGCCTTTTACCGAGCAAAAGATAAACAAAGAAATGCAACCATCCAAAACTCAAGCCGAAGTGCATCTGGCTTGCGATGAATACTGGACCATGTCAGCTGGGAGAATTTTTCAGAAGGCCRGACTCCAGTCCAAAATGGACCCTGTCATTTGGAGTCTGAATATGAAAACAGCTTGCAAAAACATTTTTTCAGGCTTCTGACAAAAGAGTTGGTCCTTCTTTTGCTCTGGTATCTAGGCTACATTGTGCAGGCTCATGCATATCACTGGTTTTATTCACATGAGTAATTCCATTTGAATTTGGAGCGACAACGTGTATGTGTAAAGTTACTCATATGCTTTCTGTCTCCTTTATATATTGAAATGATGTGGGTTTGCTTTTTTTCCATTTGATGGTGCAGCCCAGTAACTGTTGGCATCAAGGTTATTGTGAGCCATCACAGTTATTATTACTGTTTGTCAGATGACACCTTTGTTTTCCTTGCCAGACTAAAATCCTGCTATTCCTCTCTATGCAATCTATTCCAGCTATGCAATTATATTATGTTTTTATGAAAGCATCTTTCACCTGATGGTGTAAATTCTTCTTCCCTATAAATGATCTTTTTGTACTCAGCTTTTCCTCCAGCCATGACTGACAGTCATTCCAGTTGTGCCATCTGAGTCTTTCTCACACAAGTCTCTCGTGACTTCTCCCATACAGTGTAATCTAAATTCATATTTATGCTAACAGGATATCTGGATGTTTTAATATTTGCTAGCTGCAACTTTTTATTATTCTCATTGCCAAATGCCCTCTCTTTCCTCCTTCATATTTCTTTACACTACAGCTTCTGCTATTCGTATAASCTTGTATGTCTTCTCTGTTTCATTGCTGCATGTTTGTCTAAGGGCAAAATGTCAYAGGGACAAGAAAAACACAATGTCTATCTTCCATGAAGTGTGGCATTAAGTTTTAAGTGTGACTGAGTGTTTTATTAGATGCTTCTTTTCCTCAGAGAGGGAATATAAAGAACAAACAAGTAAAATTCAGTGCAGTCTTTTTGCTTTTAATGGAAGATAATAGCTTCTCACTGATATACTCTCAGCTGTCAGGTATATACTCTAGTACCCTAATTCGTGCCTGAGGAGAGTAGACAGGCTGAGCAGCCACTGACTCCTTTGTCAACCAGACTCTTTCTTCCTAGCCTAGAAAATTTTGTGAATTAGTGCAAGTATAGTCTCCCTTAGGAAATAAAGTATTTTGAAGTTACTTCAGCAGCGTGTCATAAGCTGTCAAGAAGATGCATTCAGTCACACCTAAGGACAGATTTATTACATTCAATCTCCAGGGCACCTGCCTAGTGCATCTTGAAAGAATCCAGCTACTTAGTTTCTGTGAAATCCCCAAATGATGCCTTCTAGGAGCACTGAGAACTGCTATTTCTTGGGGCAGGGTGATGACCCGTGCGTTGAAATGACCTGCTCCAGTGGTGACAGTACAAATTACTTCCAAGGAAAGGGTAAAAGGCCAAATACATCTTAAGACTGCCCTGCGAACATGGTGGGAGTTTCTCATTTCTTTTATCATAAAGTCTGAGAACCAGGAACTGTATTTCCTCCCTCTGTCATGTCTAGAAGATGAAAAATCACCTGTTTGTCTCTTGTAATGTCTGAAGAGCCCTGTGCTGCAGCAACAATTCACAGTCGGGGTGTCTGCTCCACGCAGGTGCTGAGACCACAGCAGAGAGTGAGTTCTGCCTACGGGTGGAGTCAYCAACAGGACCCTAAAGAAGATTTGAAAAACAGATTAGGTTCCTGAAGTAAATATTATATTAAAGACCATAAATAAATAAAGCTATATACACATTGATTATGGGCATCAGCTTTTGATCAGAAGTGGCTGGTGCCCTGGATTTATATATCCATAACATGCTGTAATTGTGCCACCCATGGATGTGTATTTAGGGAAGCTCTTTCTTAGAAACTTTATTTAAAATTGAGATGCAGTCAAATGATTAATTGCAAATGTAAATCATAATTAACAGMTTACTTGGGGAGGTCTACTAAACTGTAGTCTAATTTTCAGTTTATAAAAAAGTCCTGTGCTTAAAAAACCTCTATCAAACAAACAAAAACCAAACAAGAAATCCCCAGCCAATGAAATTTGAATTTACTAAGGAAACTAAGGTGGTATAAATGCATTAATTTTAATCTCTACCATGAAACATATTTAAATACACTCTCAAATGTAATTTCCTGCTTCATATGCTAGAAGGTATACATTAAAATGTAACAATCCCAGAAATATTTTAAATATTGAATTTCTTTTTTCCAGATGCTCCCTCCTTTACCATTTTTGGGAAATGGATGTAATATTTACTRTATTACTCTAAACCAAATTTAGATTTGTTTAGTTAAAATATTAAACATTAATAGTTATATTAAATATAACTAAAAGTTAGTTTAGTTAAAATATTTGTATTTACTTAAAAATAAGAAATATACCTAGCACATAGAAAATAGAAGTGCATATATTTATATTTCTTTATTTAACAAGTTAATTTATTACTAAAGAGCTCACTYTGTAGCAGAGATACAGTGCTACAAAACACTAATGACTGTAAAAGACTTTCTGGGTGAAAGCTTCTAGAAAAAAAAAAAAGACAATATATTAATAATGTCAATTTGCAAAATTTAATTTTGGGATTATATGCAAACATAAATTTATTATGACCTTCTAAAATTAGAGCTTTAATATTAATGTGATCTGAATTAAAGAAAAGCAATATCTTGCCTGCAGAGCTCCAGAAACAGGCAGTGAGCTTTTCTGTGGGAGAGACCGATGATGTTCTTGTCTGTTTTGCAGTGAAGGTGCCAATGCCCTCGGTGCTGTGGGACTGCTCGCAGTGTATAGAAATTGTGATTATATTGGGCTGTTCCAGAAGAGTTACCCCTTTAAAATACCTGTCCATGTCAAGAAGCAATTTAAAGCACTGAGATACAACACTGATAATGTTGACAAATACTGCCCTGAACTTGTTAAAATTCAAGTAAGAGTTACTGAAATAAAAGCCTCACAGTTTCTCTGTCAATTTTTAGGATGTCTGCTCTAAGCTTTATACAGACAACAGCRTTGTTATTGTTTTACTTGAAAGTACCCGTCATTCTTCTGAACCCTGAAATCAGGATGGAGCCATGTCTGCTGCTTTGATTTGTCATTTTACAAACCCTCTTTCTGTCCTTCAGCTCCTCCCTGTAAGRAGCAATCCCTCTTTCTGTCTCCTTCCTTTTGTCTCGACTCCTGCATTTGTAAGCTCAGTCATGTGGCAGCTGCATGTTTAAAAACACGTGGCAAAGCCAGGCCCTTATTTCAATTCAGAATTCTAATAATACAGAACTGTCACCAACATCCTGTGGTCCTAGAGCCATTTGCACTTGCAGGTTGAAACTCTGAAGCTGAGCATATCTGAAAATTACTTCCTGTGTATTGAAAAAAACAAACAAAAAAAAACCCCACCACAGAAACAGTTCAGGTTATCTTGAGTTTAGGAAAAAATAAAATAGCAAACCAGAGGATACTGAATTTATCACACATAGTGAAGCATTGCAAGTAAACACGATATACTAAAAAAAGCCTTTTTCTCTATTCTGAACAAGTTGGGTTTGTTTCTATAACTTTGTAAGGGCCTTGCAAGTCTCCAAAGTTTCCTCATTCATGCAGGGAGTTCCATTAGAACAGGCTTACAATAAAACCACCACTACAGCCAAGGTTTCTAGGATAAGTGCAAATGGGAAGATCTGTTATTATTTTTGAAGAGCAGTAAAACATCAAGTTGCCTAGTGAGAAAATGCAGTGTTCTGGCTGGAAGGGTTCAGAAAACTGGGTCATTAACAAAAAAAACCCAAAACAGAACAAGATTTCCTAATTGCCCGGCCCACCCCTCCCATATGAGTGGTTTCATATCTCATTATATTTCAAAAGCTTGATCATTTTAAAAATGAAACTTTTCTGAGTATATTGAAAACAGATGGAAATGAATCAAGGGGCTGAGGTAGAAAAAAGCTTTAATGAAGATCTATTTAAGCAATACTTTAAATAAATAAATCATTTGTCTGACAAACCAAATCTATCAGAAATATAAATAATTACATAATGAACATATAAACTACATTTCCTGAAGTAATTCCTGTCTTGCTACATTTCCTGAATTTGTATTATGAAACAGTAGTGGGGCACCATTAATTGATACACACTCAGTGCTATAGTTACTGCACTAATTGCAGCTCTCCAGGCCCTCCACTCACAGCTCCTCCAGCCCTTTAACAATTGGGATTGATTGCAAGGAGCTATTTTTAGAATGAAGTGGAAGAAGACTTTGGAGAGCAGCAGACACTTTTGTGTGTGCTACAGCTGTTTTGGAAAAAAAAAAAAGTCGGATAAAAATGTTCAGAGTTGTCTTTTTGAGTATTTTTTTCTGAAATCAGAGGTATCCTATTGGGTARCTGATATTGTATCAAGTTGAAACTGAGGTCAGTGGTGCATGACACAGAGGACCCGTCTCGGTGACATTTTTCTCAGAAGAGGTGCAGCTTTTCTTGGGAAATGGGACTGCTAAGGTTGGCAGTAGATGAACTCCGGAGGGTTGGGCTGTATAGACAGGCAATCTGGGAGTCAAGTTYGCAGTTTAAAATACCAGTGGTGAAAGACAAGATTCATGATTAACTTGGTGGTTTTTTTCCCCCCAGCTCTGAAGTGGAGTAGTTAACTGATTGTTAGGGATGGTAGGTCTGCTTCCAATAATGCTCTAGCACTGAGAGTAAATGAGATTCACACGGGTTGGCTGATGATGAAAGGTGTGACTGGAAGGAAACACCCATTCAGTTGGTCCCAGCTTGGCCTTTTGTTATCCCATCCTGCTTGCCTGCCCTGCAAGAGTTCAGCTGGGATAGACAAACAACTGGACAGGACTTTGTTGYTAATCTGTTATATGAAATCAGGCTGTCTTCTCTGAATGTTTGTACAATAGGAGGCAAGGCTTGGAGGAAGAGTAAAAAGCAGAAATATGTAGGAAGGACAATCAGCTTTATAACTGAGGAAAAAACCCAAACCRCAAGGGGACAAGTGTGTTTCACCTTTGTGAAGCACTGCTAACCTCTTGCCCTCTTCAGAGTAAATTATATCAATAGCAGTAATACCTTGCACTGTTACACAGCACTGCATCAGCAAATTTCAAGTGTTGTACTAAGGAAGTGACTGTCCCATTTAGCTGTGGAAGTAAATGATTTGGCTGTGGTTGCACAGTAGCTTGGCAGAGTTAGGGAGATAATCCCTGTTTCATGCCTTCAGCTGCTTTTCCCTCTTCAGTGGGATGCCAGAAAGCATTATGGATTTACACATCTATAATGGTCATTACTTCTTATCTGCWAATTCCCCTGGACATGAGAAATGCACACCTTGGTAAATGCCACCCATCTTTGTATTCCTTCAGAGAAAACATACAAAGAATGTACTTCAGTACTTACAATACTGGTTTGCATTAAAAAAAGAAAAACAGYAAAATTGAAGTAGTTAATCTTGCCTGAATATGCTGCAAGAGATTTGCTGCATGATCATTATATTGTGCTGTGACAGTGATTTTATCCACTGGGGAGTTAAATACACACCTGCTTGAGCCAGAGAAACTGAGGGTGTAGAACAGTGTACCTGTGGAAGACAGGCATTACTTTGCAGAACTGAAGAGTTAACCAAGTGGCCACACTGACAGACTCTTCCCTATTGATTTCCATGCTGGGTTCTCGATGCAGCTGGAATCTGGCTTTCACTGAATAAGTTTTGGAATTGGGAGACACTGACACCTCATTTGGTGATGTGTCATCCCAGATGCATTACCAACACAAATTCCAAGATCTGGTCTAATGCTGGAAGGCTTTTTGAGAGTGCTCTGTAAAATAATTTATATTAAAATAAACCATGTTTTGAAGAAGGTTAGTAGAAGAATGTTTTCCTGGTACTTGTRTCTTCACAGAACACAGTGACATCTTGTGGCATGGGAAGGACTGGTGTCATTTTTTTTCGAGATGCATCCTCATTTCATTTACAGATAAAAGTCTAAACAAATTCTGGACAACTGCTAATGCATTACTTTCATCTGTAATATACACTGTTACAAAAGTATTTTAAGTACAGATTTGTCTTAAAATAATCTTTTAATACTGAAAAAAGACCAAGTCTTGGTATTGCTAATGTAGGGTGCTGGAGCTTTGTTTCAAAGTTCCTTGGAAAACTTTCAGCTCCAGGAATGTTCCTGTCCTCACTGATACAAGAATCTGAATCAGATTTTCAGGTGCTTTACTCAAGTTGGTGCATTATCACAGATGGACAAAATTTGATGGGATTGAAAAGGAAACACAGTAACATTTTATCATAAGGTGGAGACTTTTCTTTTTCCTTTTTTTTTTAACCTTAAACTCATTTTTTGTGTTTTTGCAGTCAGGACATGGTTTAAGCCCTGTCCCTGATATTTTGGGCCCTTCCTGTGACATGGCTGCCCTTTGCAAGTTGATCCTTGGATAAGATCCTGGCTGTCAGCATGAAAGGCAAAGCTGCCCAGTGTGCATCCCAGCCCYGTCCCTGTGACCGCTACAAACACGCCTGTGCTCTTTGCAGAGGGTTTATTTATCTCCACGGAGGGCGGGGCAGCACCACRCTGAGGGACTTCTGGAGATACAACACAGGTAAGTCGGCCCCTTCTCTTGTGTGTCAGGATTACAGAGATTCTGCATCCACTTCACGTCAAATTGAGGATACTCTGTAGTTAACAGATTATCCTCATTTCAAGTCTTTCCATCACAGGGATGGATAAAAGTGCTTTTTGTTCATTGGGCAGACGGGGGGTGTTTGCTCCTCTTGCATGTGTCCCACAAAGTTTTGATTTCAGTTCCTTTTGTTTTGTTTTTTTCTCAACCAGAAATACTGAGAAATTTAAAATATTCTGGTTCTAGCAAAGGATATCAAAGAGCTTTCCCGATTGTCTAACACAGAAATAGTTTGTGCATATAAAAATGCACAAAGGGAACATGTGAATACAATACCTTGTAGGTTTGTATTAYCAATCCACTATCAAATATGACTCTTTGTAATTTTTGATTTGATGTATGGATTTCCCTGTTCAGTTGTTGTTGGAATAAACCTGAATTGTGCTGGGGTTCATGATCATGGAATTGTTAAGTTTTGATGTAGGTAACAATTAAAATACAAGCAGTAACAATTATCACACTTAAGTGTAACTATTATGATTACATTTAAATTTGCTGAATAGAAAAATGAATATATTTTTGGGGGAGTATCTTCTGAACTAACAGAGAGGAAACAYAACAAAACACTTCATTTTCAGGAGCACGGCACGTTCAAAGCTCACCTTTTCAACTTTCCCTACTGTTTATGTGTTAARTGTATTACTATCTTAACTTCAGCTTTGATTTATAGTGAAAAATGAATGGGAAATGCTGGATTGCTCCAAAGATGGTCCAGAAGAATTGGAAGAACATTCAATGGTGGCTTATAAGGTAGTAGACCAAGATTTATATTATCCATATCCTGACATTTTATTTCCTGCTATACAATGCAATAAAATGCCCTAGATCATTATATAGTGAAATACTACACCCAGAAAGCATTTTTGTGTTGGTGCAGTTCTGGGTGTATCTGTACCAATGTCTGGGAATCTTTCCGAGCAGAGTGACAGTAATTCAGCTCTGCAGCAGCTCCCTGGTTTCCTCAGTGGTGCTCAGTCAGTAACAGTAATACCAGATAAAGACCCTGGCAGCACATTCTCTGACTTATCTGTGCAGTTGTAACAGTTGCTCTGAATTCATTTGCATGATCAGCTACGGCATAAAAACATTCACTAAAGAACTGCGTAGAAGAGGGATGGGGGAGTGAAGGAAAGTAAGGATTACAGCCTTGTGTGCGAGGGGAAGACAGAATTTAGGATATCAGSAGCTACAACACAATGAAATATTTCTATAAACATGCAAAATCTGCTATTACCTGAGCAATGCCTCAGAGAGCCCCAGATTCCCATCCCTGAAGCTGCCCCAGGCTGACGAGGAATGAGTGGTTCTGAAATGCCGTCCCCGTTAATGTTCATTAGGGCTTCCCACTGGGAGAGAATAAAGAGAGAATAATTACATGTTGATGGCTTTTTGGGATTAATTGCTAAAAGATCAGCATATTGTTAATTATATTTTGCTGATAGCAACCTTTAAGAAGTGTTTTAAAAATTATTTTCTTGCTATGTGCCTSTGAGTAGTGACAGATATTTTTGCATTTTGCAGGGCAGCTTGTATATTTTTGGTGGGATGGTGGATTCTGCTTTCACACAAGCAAAAGCTCCTCTCTGGATATATGACATTGGTATGATATACAATAGCCAGTCTTTTCCATGGGACATTCCAAGTCCATAGGCAGTAATAAACAGTAAGAACCAAACTGTTTTCTGCTGCTTGTAACAGAGCCTTCCCTAAGCTTTACAACAAGTAATGTGTGTAAAAGTGTGTGGATATTTTCCCCCCAAAACTAGGCTGTTAAGCTATGAGAATCAGCTCTTACTTCAATTAGAGAATATTTTATGGGAAAGTTTTATGTATTTTAAGGTTTCAGAATTTCCATTTCTCCCTCTCTCCTTCTTAAGTTTACTATTTGATCATAGGACCTAATAATTAATGCTACATATATTTTATGCTACATATATTTTAAAAACCAAGCTGTTATGGAAGAAAGTAGATCAGTAAAATATATCTCATTTTGTACTTCTACTGAAAAAACACATAAGCTGGAGCAGGAGAAATAAAGTATAATTAAATAAGAAGGTGGAAAATTAACATCAACATTTTATAATGCATATTTTTTTTTTCTCCTAAGAAAGGATCTCATAAGTGTGTATCTAACAARAGTAGTGCAACATTTGAATTTAATAGCAATGCCATACACCATGAATTCTTCCTTTGGAAATCCTGTGTACAATAATGGCTGTTACTTTGATATCAGATTGAGGAGAGGAGAAAGAGACGCTCACTTCTTTTTGAGCTTGTAAATCTTATGGCCAGAGCAAGATTTAAATTTCCTGGCTTCTTTTGCTACTTCACTATGTAACCTTAAGTCAATGGGTTTTTTTTAATCCTCCCTTTGTGTTTTCCACCAGTAGTCTGAGATAACCTGCTGGAAGAAAGGAAAGCCTCAGATAAAACATGTTTTCAGGGAGAAAGCATCTTATTACTCACAGTACTTATCAGTGAAAATTTGGAATGAGTTATTCGACATAGGTTGTGTGTTTAGCTATTTCATAATTGTTMTTTAAAAACTTTAGGAAAGAATAGCTTTAAATAATGCAAGCTCGCACTTGCCCTTTTTAGGGGATCTAGAAAATCTAAGAAATTTAGAGAAATTAGATTTCTCACTCTACCTCTGGGGCTGGGTATCTGACATTTTGTCTCCTTCATGGTGATCACAGATCTGTGATTTCTGGCTGTTACTAGAGGGCTATTAAAGGGACCTATGAAAAACAAGAAGAAAGAATAAGTCTGCCATAATAAGGTGTATATGGTAAGTAGGAGCTGTACCTCCATTGGGAAATCTGTGAGTCCTGGAAGTTCAGAAAATGATGAAAATCACAGGTTTTTTCTGCATTGTGAAATTTAGCTTTAGGAAACAGGAACACACAGTGGTACCTGTGTGATTCTGTATTAGAGAAGGATACAGGAAAACTGTTCAAGCTGTGCCTCCTGCAAGTCTCTTGGTGCTGCTGTCTTAGCGGGATTTCTTCAGCCTTGTCAGGAGTAAACACCAGGACGAGACTTCCTTGAAAATGAGCTGTGTGATTTGAACAATTGCTGTAGGAGGAGTGTCCTCTTGTGGTGCGGGATCTAAACTGCGCTTTATTAACTCAATCCCCCAGATTCCGCAAGATGGACAGAGAGCTGCAACGAACCAGCAGAGACGGAGGTAAGGAGCCAGGAAGTGGGGAATGTGTGAATCAAATGCCTGTTGCTTTGTTGATTAAACAGATTGCTTTGAAATATGTTCCCCCAAACAGTTCCAATCTCATCTCTTCGGAGACATGTGGCTATACTTTATTTCTTTGCACTTTCAATAACTTACGGCTTTTTCCTTCTTCAAAACAGTGTTTAAAAATACTGCTCTTAAATTTTAAGTCCTATATGAGAAGTTAAGTCCTCTCCTCTGCTGCTGCATCTGTTTTTCTGAAATCCTTATCAAGGAAACTAATTTTAAATGGAGTATTACAACCATACGTGAAGCCTGTGCTTTTAAAAGTAGGGTTGTGAAAACAGATTGGCAGTCACGCTAATACGTTTTGGAACGTGAAGCGCTGCAGCATTTTTCATTTCTTCAGTCTGAACACGTGGACTCACCAAGTTACTGCCACTTCTAATTGAAACCTGAGTGGAAGCGTTTATGGCTTGGTCTTTTGAGATGGGTTTTGTATCACTACACATAAAGAATCACTCTTCTTTTCCTACAGAAARTTCATCCTCACAATGCTTCTATGCCTTGAAATTTCATCTAAAAATTTATTAAGATGTGACACAATTACCACTCTGTTTATCTGTGCTTGATGCAGGAGTCAAGAGATAAGTTTGGGGACTGCAGGGTCATTTGTGGGGGAAAAAAAAAGTGTATTTCCAGGACAGATGTGATACTGCTGATATGACTTAATATGTTTTTTCCTTGTTATTGAACTGTTCTAGAGCTCGGCACCAGCTAACAGAAAAGGTCACAGTGCAGTCRTCTATCATTCCAGCATGTACATCTATGGAGGATACTTTGGCATCAAAGGCATTTCACAGGAGTTTTGGGCATTCCATTTTGGTAAGCTAAAAAAGCAGGGTAAGGTTATGATCCCGCGTAAAGCAGCAACTGCAGCAGGAGAGCTTGGCTTGCTCTGCTAAGAAAATTCGTATCAGTAGGAATGCTCTTAGTTTTGGCTTCTGTTCGACAACATTTAGTGATGAATTCTGTCAATGTAATTAATTGCTGGCTGAAATTAACTACACTATTACACTGGAAGAAGTTTTGCAGTATTTGCCAGTTTTAGAGCTGAAAATCAGGGAGAATGTTTTTTTACTATTCACAAAATTTTTTAAGGATTACTAAAAACTTTCATATGCAGCAGAGACCCTGATTTCAGCCTCTTAATGCCATCTTTTGATCTCAAACCTCCATCTGAGCATGGGGAGCCAAACCTGACAGGAGGTAGTGTATTGGCATATTCATTACCAGTCTGGTCACTGCAAACCAGATGATTGTCCCAAAGATTTCCTCAATCCGTAACTTGTTATCTGATGGCCATTCTGTTACTGTTTTGAAACAAACAATGGGTCTATCTCATCCTTCCCTCACAGCGAGATTAAGCAGGAACATTAATGAATTAATGTTTTTGTTGACTGTTTTTTCCCCTCTAACAGCCGGGAAAGTATCTTTCTGTGTCAGAGTTAATGAACTGACAAAGCCGTAGGAAAAACTGCTCTGTAAATAAAATTTCCACGGCATCTGTCACGCAGCATCTGACATTTTCATTAAAAGTTTATTTCAAAACTGATTTTTTTAAATGCACTTTTTCAGTGTCAGAATTTAAACTTAGAGTAGAAACCCTCATTCTATAACTGAATAGTTACTTCCTTGATACAAATCCTTTCTCAAATAGGGTAAATTTGATCCATCTGCAAATCAGTATTTTTGTTTCAGATACCAGGAAGTGGTTGTGTGTCTCCAGCCCATGTCCCAGCAGCGGCCCCGGAGCTCGGCACGGCCACTCRGCAGTGGTTTATCACACAGCCATGTACCTCTTCGGGGGGCTGATGGGGCTCAGCGAACAGAGGGACTTGTGGAGGTGGGACTTTGGGAGCAGCAGCTGGGCCAACATCAGGACAAGGTAAACTAYTCTATTCATTACATTAATTCTCCATCCCTGCTCTTTTAATCTTATTATTTGACMGTGTGTGCAGGCGGAGRGGGAGACKGTGCCCTCTTGGTAATTGCAGGAATTGTTCGGATCAGGATACAGCGCTGCTGCCATCCTGGGGCTCCAGTTGGCTTTGCTCGGAAGAGCTGTTGGCAAGGCGTTGATGCAGCTGTCAGCAGTGTAATTTTGATGTCCCAATGCAGCTGTTCAGCAGTCATTCTTCAGAGCCAAAAGGAAAACAGAAGCTAAAATCAGTGCTAAGTTTCTTGTAGATTTCCCCTTAACTGCTGGTTTCTTTTACCTTTAGCCAAGGACCTCCTCCGGTGGTAGGTCATGCTTCGATAGTCTGCAAAGACTCCATGCTGGTTTTTGGTGGAGGGATTTCAAATTCCAGCCCTAATGATGACCTCTGGAAGTATCATTTCCATACGCAGACATGGAAGAAGCTTAGTAGTACTACAAAGGGAAACTTCTCTCCTAAAATGTATCACTGCATCTTAGGAATTGGTGCGGATTTCCAGACTACCTCAGATTTCACTAACGYGTCCCCCAGGCACTGGAAGAGCGAGCACAAGGACCATCCCCAGCTCGTGTCCATCCTGAGGCACTCAGGCTTTTGCAGCTACTTCTGCCCACGGCCCACAGAGCGGAGCAAYGCCATCGAAATGAAAACCTTCAGCCTGCCCCTGGAACCAGCGGAATTCCCTGCCTTCCAGACCACTTTGGAGGCAGGACTAGACCCAAACAGAGACAGGAGCCATTTGTCCAAGGACAAGTCTCTCCATCTGTCRGCCTGTTCAGGAGAGGCTTTTGCTGCTGCTCAGGCTGGGGGTGAAGAGGAGGGAACCGACTGTGGGTGCAAGGCCATGGCGGGTGAGATCAGCAACACCAACACACTGCTGCTCATCGGGGGCAAACCTTTGTCCAGCTTCTCAGAGATCTCCTTCAGGCAAATGGAGTTCCACTGCTTGTGACTGCTTTGCTTGCAAAGTGAAAGAATAAATTTCCACCACCGTGGAAGTAGGTGGAAAACCAACTGCTTGCAACTGCCTTCAGCTTCTTATCAGCATGCTGGGGAAAAAAATAATTAAACCTTCTCATACTTGCTGTGAACAGATTTTTTACAATGTTAACAAAACCCGACATGTATTTAAGTCACAACTTACATGTAAGTTGTGATTTCTGTGAAGAGCTTGTCGAAATGCTGCTCTTTTTGTTACATTTCTCCTGGTCACTTCATACAGTTTCAAATTGCAATGGCCAATGATGCCTTGACAATCAGAACTGCAGGAATGCCTRCTGGCTCCACAAGATGCCATTTCAGGGGCAAAGCTTCCTTGTTTTGCACTGGCATAAGAGAGAAATGCAGTCACATTTGAGGAATTCAATTAATCTTAATAGGAACATTCTCTAAGATTTTTAAGATTCTATTTTCTTGAGTGTTGTRTCCACAATATATTTGCAACGTGAGATGGATAGCCTACAAAAAGGAACTCAATAGACAAATCAGCAACTGAATTCTACAAGATATTCCAGGATTGTACATAACCTTAGGAAGTGAAACAATGAGGGYCCCTGAAAATCATCAGCAAGGACCAGAGGGAGGGCATTATATCCGTATAGGGATTTGCCAAATGAATGTTGGCTTTAATGACAGCACAGAATCAAAAGGGTTTGCTTTCCTACAGCGGGATGGGGAGAGAACAGAAAGAGGCTGGCTTGACAAAGTGGCACARAGCAGGGGCTGTTTTGACCAGTAACTCGTTTTAGCCACAAAGGGATTTCTGCTTTTYCAACTCCATCTCTGTTTTGTCAGCCTAGGTACTATTTGTTACATATTTCCCCTCTATACTAGTAAATTCGGAGTTCATGTATGGCTTTTCTTTGCCGAAAAGAAAAAGTGCTTGTTTTGCAAGGTAATATTGTCCAGTGTTCACAGCATTTATTTCCATAGAAGTTACTCAGTATTGGCCTTCTGACAGAACTTCAGCTATCTGAAGAGCTGCTGATGTCTGAAATTATTGGAAAGTGCAAGTTAATACTTCGAATATTTGAAAAGATCACTTTTCAGAAGTTTCATAGGAATAATGACTTTCAAATAATTTACAGATTTCAAGAATATTTACAGAGATGTTTTCATCAGCTCTTCACAAGTAGCTGTCACATGAATTCAATAGGAAAATCATAGATGGATTTGCAAAAAGCTACTTAAAGAGTTATTTGGACCATTCATGACCCTTGTCTGGAAAAAGAAAGGATTGTACACTGTCATGTGAATAAAGCCTGCTGTTTTCCTGTCACTCTGTGTTCATTTTCACCTTTATGAGTCTGAAAGATGTGTTCGTATTTTCAAACTGAACAAAGAACTTACCTTTCTGACCAAGCATCCTGCAAGCCCCAGTCATTTCCTTGCACTTCAGCTGGCTTCAAGGGCTGCCCAGCGTTGAATTTCTCCTCAAAGAACAAGAATTTCCCATTTTGTTGGGAAGGGACATCAATACAGTGACTGAGCTGAGCATGTACTCAACACTGCAATCTTAAATCAGCAGCTTGTTTTCCTTTTGCTGACTGACATGTCTGTTTTGGCATTATCCCGAGAGCTGCCGTAACATACAGCCTTTTATCAAGGATTGACAAGGGGAGGAAATTTAACTGGTAAAGGGCAACAAAAACCCAGTGATTTTTCCAAGTCACGCGAAGGCCTCCTGGCAGGTAGCGGTATCCTGGGGATGTGTAAGAGCCCAGGAAAATGCCATCCAGCCTCTGCCATTCCTTTCTTCCTGCCCCCTCAAACTCTCTTCCCTTTGGCAACCCCACGAAGGCTTTAACATTTAGTCGGAGCCAACGCAGGCGGGACACGAGCCAGCCCAAAGGCAATGGCTTGGCACGGGCAGGAAGAAGCAGCTTGGAGCGTGCCCATCTCCCCTGTTCCCTCCCCTGGGCTCTGCCCGTGTGCCAGGTCAGGTGGGGGCACCAGCACCGGCAGCACCGCACGCACTTTGTCACCTTAAAGATCCCAAACCTCTTGAGCCAGTCCCAAGGGCGCTGCTGCTCCCTGCCCTGTACAGGACACAGGGGGCTCTGGAAAGGCCTGGCTGGAGATGCGGGCTCAGGGGAGGCTGAGCCACAGTCGGCCCCAGTAATGCTKTGGAAGGGGAGAGTGCCCCAATCCTGAAGTGGGTCTGTGCTACAGCAGCTCTGCTGAAGCCACTGGAGGCTCTTTCTCCCTTTGCGGCCCATTCCCAGGTCTTTGAAAAACAAGGGTGAACTCAATTTGGAAGGGAAGCCGTTTGGGATTTGAAGTGACTGCATCCCACAGGAGTGCTTGGCACCTCAGTCTGTTTTGGACATGCATGACCCATATTTCAGCTACTCTCCAGTGTCACGACCTAGGGACACAATCCTCACACCATTGTGATGCTTTCTGGGTCATGCCCCTTTTCAAAATTCAGCCAGGGCTGTCAGCTACACCGACAGGGCTCTTGGAACACCTTAAGTGATTTCACTCCACTTTTCCCACCAGTCACCTTTCCAGAGAGGGAGAAAAGCTATTTCTCCRTAACTGTAGCAGTTAGTAAGAATTCATCCCAAGCCCAAGTGAGTGACTAAAAGCTGCTGCCATCTGAAAGCTCGGTGGTGGCCTGCATGAAATAATGAATGGAATTACTCCAGCTAGTGGTGGCAAATATTTAGAAACAAAACAAAACACACCATTTTGGCTGGGACTAGAGGGGCTACCTCTGAAACTGGCTGCTTAGATTTCTAGTCTCTGAAAATCAGGGAACCTTGCACATATCTGATACGCCCACAGAAATTCAATCCATAGAACAAAAGCAAAAGTATGCAGCATTCTTGGCAATCTTATCTGAGATTACACAAGACKTAATCACTTACACGAGATGCACTGTTGTATCATAAATTATATATAAGAGAACAAATCTATCAGCGCTAAACATCTCAACAATTKCATTGTCATTAAATAAGATTTGGTTTCTGAACATTAAATTGCATGAATGGCAGAAATAYTTTCTTCTGAAATGCAGATATTCAAAGAGGGTTTTTTCAATTAATAATAGAAAAACCTAAAGGTGTTACTGTTTTGAGTTGTAAGTGCATTTGAAGAACAATTCAGTGATTTATCAGTGGGATCACAGTGTGACCTACGCAACAAATCATGCCACGAGAGAAATTATTTCCTATAGCTTCGTCATTAAGAAGGAATAATTTCTCTTCCTTTTGAGACTTTCCAAATAGTTTTTGAGAAATGAAGATGATCAAATGGTTTAGTTGCCCTTTGCTGCCTTCTTTAGCATTTCACCAAAGTCAGGGCTTGGGTATAAACAGTTTCCTTTAAACAATCATTAGCACTACTGTACCTGAACACACAACCCAGTCCCTGGCTGGAGACAAGAGCGAGGGTGCTCCTTTAACTGGCCTGCACTGGAACCACACCGGGCAGCTCGGGCTCCCCTTCCAGGTACACACCTCGGATTTGGGTTTTCAAAAGCACTGGACACCTGACAGTCCTCCTGGCCAATCTCAGCTCTGCTGGGAAAAAGGCATTTCATTCTTCAGCATCTCCCTGCAAGCTTAGGTGCTGCCCTAAGTTAAGCCAACAGACTGARTTTAGAGCAGCAGCCCGATGCCCCAAGCCCCCGCTGACCCACCTGTTGCTGCTGTGCYGGTGCAATGCTGCGGGGCTTAAAGATGACTCTGCAAGACTTTTGCACTCACATGGTGTATTTGAGATAAAACTACAATATAAACGTTTCAAGACTGGTTGAGTGAACTACAGATCTACTTGTTCCCATGTATAGTTTCAATACAGATCTCAGTGCAGTGCCCAAGACAGTTCATACATCACCAGCATTGTGAAACAGAAGCAAGAGGGTGCACTTTGTTTTATAAAAAAACCCMAAAAAATAAATTATACATTGAGAGCTATTGCCAAGCTTTACATATAAAAAGTAAAAATACAGTAGTTAGTGCGGCTTTAACAAAACAAATCTAGCTAAAAAAATATTCTCATATACTTTAAAAATAAGTTTGTCCAGTTATATAGGTAGGGGGTGTATGTGTGGAGCAGAGTGCTTGAGCCAAGCAGTCAAAAGGAGGTGAATTCTGCAGAATCCTGTGGCTCCGGGCTCTGTGGTGTGGCAGCGCTGCAGGGCAGTGCCCGCTCCTCAGGGCCAGCAGGAACATTGAGCCAGGAGCCACTCCCGGCTTTAAAGGGCCGTGCTGAGCACCTGCAGCTCCCCCAGCACTGCCAGGAGCCACTGCAGCGCTCRTGGGGTCCCACCAGCTCTGCCTCTGCCAGGGCACTGTGGGGAGGGCCCTGTACTCGKGTCTGTGGTGCCAACACTCGGAACAAACACACCCCGCTCACACCTGTGTCACTGAAAGGCCATCAGCATGGGTTGGTCCTATTTTTTGGTTGAAAAGTTACGATTGTCCAGCTGCATTTGAAAGCGGTGYCATTACAGTGTCTAACAGCTACATATACAGATATGTATAGAGATACTACAACTTCCTAAACTCAGAAACACTACGTGCCCARATAGAGCTTTAAATGCTAGCTGGCTGTGGAACAGTGCTGCTAACACTTCACCAGTAGATTTAAGTTTTACCAGAGTACGTTTACAATGAGAAAAACACATCCAGTGCTGTTTGTGAAGGACACGCTCATCCCAGCAGTACGTCTTTGTTTCATGAAATGAGAATGAGCAGGGTGCAAAGGGAGAGCAGGCAAGAACTGCAGTCTGTATAGAGGTCCACACACAGTGCTCACCTGAGCTCCTCTAACAGGGCTGCAAGTTTTCTTGCCAAAGTCGTRTCCAAAAATTTGTCCAAAACATAGCTCTTACACAGCTGTCTTTGATGAAGTATGAGTGACATTTAAGTTTAAAAATCRAATACATTCAAGCTAATTCATTAACCATGACTGATTAGCAGCTAAGTAGGYAATTCATGTCAT